CTCACACCAGAAAAGATGACATCAATGTTTGGCTCAAGGATAAAAGTAGGTTGTTGACTTCTTCGGTAAATATTTTTCCGAAAATTGATTGATGTGAAAAAATTTAGAAATGATTCAGAAAAGCCTCCATTTTGTCGCAGGACTTATTTGCCAACCTAATATGAAATAGGATTAGTTGATAATTAAAGATTACTGGTGACCGGTTGAGTTTTATCACATATGTTAGTGATCAAAGACGATCCTTCATTGAGTCACAAACCTTGCTGAGCAGTGATCGTCATCTAATGGCAAGGAAAAAACACAATTCTCATCTGCTTATCGTATTCCCTCTAATGAGTACCTATCACTACACCTATCACTCACTTTTGTCACCCTACTTTACCATCCCGTCTTACGTAATGAAACATATCAAAGAGTCAATGTGAATACCAAAGTCGATAAGATTCAGTGGAGTCACAGAGTACCTACGACCACGTCACATCCTACACGACATACTGAAATGCCTAGATTCCTGTTGTCGACACGAAGGGATTATAAACCTAGTGGCTCTAGCCTTATGGGCTCTTCGCAGCCCTTGCTCCCCTGTTATCAGTACTTGTCACCAATCGTCTTCGCTTCCACCATATCCCACACCACCTACTAAAGTGCTCCACTGTTAAAAGTGGGAGAAGTTGTAGACCTAATGGTTCTCGCCTCCTGTGGCTCGTTATCGGTCTATAACAGTTGCTATCGATCCTTATCACTGAACATCTGCGGTCCCTTATCGTCCCTTAGTGAAGTGCCAAGGCTCCACCGTTCACACGAAGGAGGTAAAAGATCCTGCGGCCCTCGCCTTCAAAGGCTTTTTATCAGCTTTTTCGATTGCTATCAGCTCTTATCACACATCGCCAGTGTCCCATTCTGCTTCCTAAACTCCTACTAAGTTTGAACGCTCTGGGTCTACGGGAACAGAAATAAAGAATTTTCGGTCAAACGCATTTTGACACACACACAAACACAACGACAAACCAACATATACACTTAGCGAATCATATGTAGCAGGATAACCGTGTCCCCGCTGGCCCACCACCTCAACGCGGTAGGTGTGTGAAACGTACGGCATGTGGGCGCGTCCACTTTATCACTCTATGTAAAAACCTTTACTGTAATCTTTATCGCTTTATGTAAAAAAAGCGGGGTCTTGTAAATCTTCTTAGAACTTCATCATGTGCTCCAATGCAATGTGCCGGTGATTTCCAGTTATGCTATTTATGATGAATTCGTTCTTCATGTGTTAAATTGCACACAGCAAGCCCCGGTACATCACGTCTGAATCACTGCGTTCTGGACTAGAGACAAAGATTGGCTCGGGGAAATATCCCCTTAACAAAAGAGAAGAAACCTTCTGCTCTGTCACATGCTTTCGTCTTACCATCAGATGTCGGCTTGTATGGTCCGAAAGCTCTCGCCAACGTTCTTCTACTGTTCCATGAGATTTTGCTTAGAACTTTCCTTTTTAACTTTTTATGAAAAAAATATATACGTATATAACTTCAACGGCATGCCTGCATGTCCACACGGCTACGAGTAGGCCCCCACCTACTGTTAGCCGTGTGGACAGGTTAGAGCCTGGCAAGCTACCCGTGGATATTAACATGCCGAAAGCAGTAATAAAAATGAGTCTCATTCTCCTGAATCTGAGGAATCCCCTAAAACGGCAGCGTAGGGTAAGACTGCTTCAAAGAGGCTGCTGAAATCTCAGGACCTCGACAGGCTGCTCAAAAGGAGAAGGACTAAGATGACGATCTGTACTTTCAATAAACGAACGCATGTATCGGATGCGTGCGTCGAAGATCTGATGACGCATGCCAAGAATATCAGGTACGATGTCATCAGACTATTCAAGACGAGAAGGCACCGCTCGTTGCACGCCATTCTTCACAATGGAGAAGAACTGCTCTTTGGAACAAGTGAGGCGTTGGCGGTGTAGGTGTCCTCGTCAACAAGCACTTGGCCATGAAAATCGATTCATACGAAAGCTTGACAACCCGAATCGGATGTTTGCGGTTGAGAAGATATGGCTCAACCTAGCTTTAATCTTCGTTGTTTACGCTCTCACATCGAGCTACGACGAAGAAGAGGTGGGAGGGTTCTATATAGATCTAGAAAGACTCTATAGAGAAGACCATACTTTCTTCAAGGCCTTCGTCGGTGATTTCAACGTCAAGATTGGCAACAGAAGAACGGTTGAAGAGCTCCACATCGGTACTCGGAATGGAATGAGCTGAAGGCTGTCCGAGTTAATCTTGTCAACCCACACTATTCCTGGTAACTCGCAGTTCCAGAAGCCTTCTCACTCCCAGTGTACATAGGAGACACCAGGTGGGCAGTTATATAATGGAATTGATCACATCATCGTCAACCAAAAGTTTTGCCTGATTGACATCGCTGTTGTTCCGAGGTTCTACAAGGGATCAAAATATCGCCTCCTCCGCGCCAGATTCCGCGATTCAGCGCCTGGAGACAGAGCTGCGAAGTTCACGAAACGAAGTCCCAAGACTGTTGTCAATTGAAGGTGGGTTTCTGGAAAATTCCGTCCGCGACAACATCGATGAAGAATACGACCGGTTCGTCGACATCATCAGGATAGCGTCTGGAAAGCTGGGAGTTTCGAAGATGTCAAGAAACATCTTTCCTTAAGGACTCTTGAGCTGATATGCCATCGTGGAGTCGCGCGAACTGCAGGCAATAATCAGCCAAGATCTGAAAGCGAGAAGAAAGCAGCTTCGACTGAAGCCGCCGAGGCTGGGAAGCCATTCGCAAGGCGTGTCGGGGCTTCGACAATTATAAAACTGAAATGACTTCAGTTCGTCGTCCGAGATTGTTACTGCATCCCGAAGGGCGATGAAGAAGGTATCTACAACTCTAATCCGATCTCTTCGACAGTCACGCCTACTTGCCTCCCTACCATCTTAGATAAGACGGATACGTCGTCTCTTCAGTTCTCNTTCACAATGGAGAAGAACTGCTCTTTGGAACAAGTGAGAGCACAGGCGTTGGCGGTGTAGGTGTCCTCGTCAACAAGCACTNGTCGAAACCCTGGCCCGGCTTTTCACGTGGTCCTGTCGCCGTGCAAATTGCCCACTTCGAGGAAAACTAGCAAGACCGTGTTGCTGTATAAGAAGGGAGATCCAGACGACATTGGCAATTATTGCCCAATTTGCCTGCTGTTTGTAATCTATAAACTCTTCACACGAGTCATCCTTAAGGGGATTGGCAGAATATTAGATGAAGGGCAGCCATATGAGCAAACAGGGTTTCGGAGAGGGTTCAGCACAGTCGATCATATCCACACTCTAACAAAGCTCAGTGAAGCATCGCGAGAGTAGAGAATGCGGTTATGTCTTACGTTCATTGGTTTGAAGAAAACTTTTGACACCGTTGAGACAGAAGCGATAATTGAAGCCCTGGGCAATCAGGGTGTCCCTACTCAATATGTAAGGATGCTTCATGAGCCCTACGACAACTCCAGGATCTCACCATTCTACAAGGAAGTCATTGTCAACGTAAAGAGAGGTGTCCGGCAAGGCGGTACTATTTTGCCCAAACTTTTCAGTGTCGCTCTCGAAAATATCATGCGTCATTTGGAATGGAAAGACTTGGGAGTGAAGGTCGACGGCCGCTACCTACACCACCTCCGCTCTGCAGACGACATTGTGCTTATAACATCGAACATCGAGCAGGCGGAACAAATGCTGGCCAAGTTTGATAGTGCGTGTGGAAAGATCGGACTACGACTGAATCAAGCGAAGACGATGTTCATGAGAAACGGATTGCTACCTGATGCACCTAATAAACTGAACGGAACGAGCATTTCTGAATGCCCCAGCTACGTGTATCTAGGTCGGGAAGTCAACATAATGAACGACCTCGCTCGGGCGCTCAGCTGACGGAAACGCGCGGCGTGGGAAGCATTCAAGAGCATCGAGTAAGTAGTAAAGAAAACGAAGAACGTCTGGCTCCGCGCTCACATTTTCGATACTGCGGTCCTTCCTGCTTTCACATATGCCTCAGAGGCCTGAACTCCACGGAGGCAGGATGAGCATGCAGTTAGTTAGCGTCATTCAACACGCTGTGTAAAACACGCTCGGAATTTCCCTGCACACGCAAGTGCAAAAGGGAGTCCGGAATTCTGAGCTCCGTCAACGAACGAATATCAGGGATAAATACATACATACATACATACATACATACATACATACATACATACATACATACATACATACATACATAGATACATACATACATACATACATACATACATACATACATACATACATACATACATACATACATACATACATACATACATACATACATACATACACACATAGACACACACATACACACATACACACACACATACACACATACACACATACACACATAGACACACACATACACACATACACACATACACACATACACATACTCATACACATACTCATACACATACACACATAGACACACACATACACACATACACACATACATACACATACACACATACACACACATACACATACACACATACACACATACATACATACATACATACATACATACATACATACATACATACATACATAATCGTGTTATAGCGCAAGTGAATCACAAGTCGCAGTGCGGTATGTACGGCAAAAGATTATTGGTTATGATTCCCTTTTCTGCGATGATATCGTGCACTTCACTTCAATGTTGCTGCATTTGCGTTGCTCAGTATAATGCCTACCAAACGCCGTCAACAGGCTGCCGTGCCTCATACTAGCTAGGTGCTTTTTTGCTTAGCAAACGTATGCGTATTAGTGCAACATTCTCACAACCTTGTGACACCGTATAACCGCTCGTAGCAGCTATCAGGCTGCTACGAGCAGACTAAACGTCGTGATTCGAGTCGGTCAGGTTAACCCAAGCGGGTACTTTTTGCTATCCTCAACACGTTGCTGACGTCTGCACTTTTGTGGCTTGAGCATGAGCCGAAGTACCGTTGAGGGAGCATTTCTGAAAGCTAGTATTACGGGCCTACCTCACACTAACAACACGATAATTTGACCTGTGGTCAAGTGAGCTCACCATCACATGGTTGGTTGAGTTTAATGTCCTGTGACTATTCATTCGTGACTCGTTCGTGACCCGTCCAGTTCAAACTGCTTTGATGCTGCGATGAAATACTCGAGCACACAGCAAGCCGTTGTCCCACAGCAAAACCTTTGGCGTGAGAAAAGAGCTACCGCCTAACTGAAAATATTCCACGTTAGGATTCCTTGACCAATGCCTGTATATGCATTGTACCGAGTCTAAAGGTTTTAATACAGGCATGCCATCTAGCACTTCAGGTGATAATGCTTGTAGGGTCTACTTGTTTTGGACATTAGTTCAGAGCAGAACGACGTCGAGTGATGCTATTACATTACTCCTACCGAGGTTTGAGTCATATAATAATTTAAGAGCCTGTTTGGTACTAGGTTATTGAGAACAGATTCTGACAGTTGGTCTCCCTACATAGCTAATAGTGGGTCGAATCTTGAGCGTATCTGGTTGTGTAGACAGCGCTTCGTTAGAAGATAGTTCACGAGACTTTATTAGGCAATAAAAGCAGTTTAAACTATCCGTTAGGAGTCTATTGACCGACATTTTATCGATACCTGCAGATCTACAGACACTCTACCATATACGATTGAGGTGACTACATTGTGAAGGAACTAAGTTCGAGCTGTGAATGTACTGCCTTTGCAGCATGCGTGAAAACTGCTGAATCAAAGCAGACGGTTCATTGAGATATTTAATTGCTCTATTTCAGTGTTTATCATCGATACGTGTTGTTGTTTGCCGGAGTCCCTTGGTAGATCCTTCATATTTGGATTCATTCGGGATTCTAATTTGGATGTGGACAACCAGGTGTTGTCAATTACAGGTCAGAATCTCAGTAAACATGTTTCATGCGTTCAAATTCAAAGCGTAACGTAACGATTTGGTGCTATTCTACCATTGATTTGATTGAAACCGTATCATTCACCTTAGCTTTTCTTCTTCACTATTATTCTACAAGTAGTATTATTCGGAGTATGCATCTGTTGTAAGCCTCAAAAAACTTTCATCGGTGTAAGGAGCAATTCTTCGTCCAGTAATCTGCCATACTTACGTTTATATGAGAGAGATGAAAGATGTTTTGACTAAGTGTGAAAGTTGTTTTGACTAAGTGTTTTCTCATTCAGTCTTGAATGGAGGTGATCAAGATTGCCGCTTCAACTTGACCTATCGTGATGATTACAACATGAGGACTCCTCCGAGAACTACATCGTTTGTGGTTAGCAAGGGCATGACAGAGGTGAGCAGGGCCACCATTTGAAGTACACCAATATTTCGGCTTGCCTGAATATCCTACTTATATAATCCGCTGAGTGTGTCTGTTTGTGTGTGCGTGTGTTTGTCTGACTGGAAATTTATGACCCTTGTATTACTAGACCTAGATTTGGTAGGAGTACAGGCGGCGGGATGGGAACATTTATGGCAATTAGCAGGACTTGACTCTGCTCGCAGGATTGCTCAAAATAAACGTTCGATCGGAAATTCATAACTCATAGACCTAGAGCGACCTTGAGCGACTTCGAGCGACCTTGAGCGACCTTGAGCGACTTTGAGCGACCTTGAGCGACCNTCCAGTTCAAACTGCTTTGATGCTGCGATGAAATACTCATCGATATATGTGTCTACATTACATATCCACATTGAAGGATTTCGTTATGGAACCGGTTCTTCAATTTGGTCCATGAAGCACACAGCAAGCCGTTGTCCCACAGCAAAACCTTTG